AGAGAATTTTTAAATAGTTGATTTTATATTAACACTGACATATTTTTTTCAAATTTATATTTTATTCAAAATAAAATTATTATTGTTTTCTTAAAAACACATAAAAATCGTATTATAACATCGACAAAGACAAAAAATAAAATAAAACATTAACATCGAGATGTATCATGCTGTATTGCATGAGTACCTTTCTAGTGCTTCACTAATATATTTGGGTCCAGATGAGAATGAGTTATGGCGAAAAGACTAAGATAGGGTCTTCATCCTTCAATCCTAATTGAAGAATTCCGCTAGATCACGTACTAATGAGAAAGACTGGATCAATTCCATTTTAAAGCGCAATTCGTTGGTTGTTTTGAGATTAAAAGTAATAAATGGTTTAAATCTCTTCTTAAACTTCTTTGACACATATTTCACATGATCCTTTGTATTATCTTTTGAAAGTATACATTTGTTTTGAGGCAAAATGAATGGATTAAAATGGTTCCCGAGCTTCATCTGTACGAACCAACCATACTTGTTACCAACTAAATTGGTAGTGATTTATTTCAAAAGTTGAAGTTAGAAATTTGTTTAATTGACATGTTTACCAGATAAATCTAGATGCAGTAAAGTTATCGAACATTCACATGATATGTTAATATGTGGTGTACTACTTAGTGCTACCTAGACAAATATTCTTCAATGAAGGCATTTAACCGCGAGGGTGGTGCCTGATTGGTTTGAGCTTGACTCCAAATGTCAAAAGTGTCTGGAGGTCTCACGTTCAAATCCAAGAAGGAACAAAATCCCCTTGTGGCCACGGAGGTTCAAATGCGATGACTCCGTGCTACCTGCAAAACAGGTGGTCGCCCTGGGATTAGTCGGCTCGCATAACGGGTTGGATATCTAGGTTAATAAAAAAAAACATTCACTAATAATCTACTACAAACGACAATTGAGAAGCGTCGATGAACCATGGAGGTGTGTACGAGTTATTAAGGTTGTTAGGTTAGACGAATAAATTCAATCAAATCCTATATATACATTCGTATTATAATTTAAAATTTAAAATCAAAATATGTTGTATTACTAATTAAATGAGGGACTTTTTAGTTCTTTTATCAATTTTTCTGTCTGTTATCGAAGAAAAAACCATAGAGACTAAAATTATAAAATCGACTTTGATTGGGTAAAGATAAAAAATCGATAAAAGGACGAAAATGTTTATCATTTAACAGAACTTTTTAACATACGTTAGAGACAACGATTAAATTTGGATGTTTTTTATAAAACGTGATAGCCATCTTGTAATTACGAAACTACAGTGATAAAAAGTGTTGCTTTTTTATGACCCATAGGAACCAAGTTTTTGTGGTTTACTCGAAAATATATATTCTGAAATAAGATAAATAGATATCGGGTTAAATACATGAAATAAAAACTTATTTTCATAATCTTTTTATTACAACATTCTACTTTTATTTTTCTTTATTACAACAATATACTTTCAAATTATTTTTTATTAGGATATCGTATTTTGATAAATCTACCTATTATAACAATGAGCAACCTATTACTTTTTAAACCGGTTAATCCTTTTCTTTTTGCTTAGTTTTAATGAGATGATATGAATGACACATTATTTTGATAACATGACTAAAATAAAAATTATAAAAATAAAAAAAACCTATTTCAAATAATTATTTGTGATTTTAATTTTTAATTGCTATGATTTAAAAAAAACATTTAATTTTTTTGACTTTTTATTTAAAATATATTTTAAATAAATATGACATTATTTTTA